ATATAGAGAGCTCTTAACGTGTACATTAATATGTATAAAATAACTTTTTGAAATATCATATTTTTTTATTTCAAAATTCAGAACATAAAAACCGCAAACATAGTCGTTGTATATAAAAAAAATTGATATATATAGAGAGCTCTTAACGTGTACATTAATATGTATAAAATAACTTTTTGAAATATCATATTTTTTTATTTCAAAATTCAGAACATAAAAACCGCAAACATAGTCGTTGTATATAAAAAAATTGATATATATAGAGAGCTCTTAACGTGTACATTAATATGTATAAAATAACTTTTTGAAATATCATATTTTTTTATTTCAAAATTCAGAACATAAAACCGAATATTAATGACAGTCACTCTATGGTAAAATTTACGAAATATTAATTTATGCAAACATTTTTGTTCATTTTAAAACAATTTTACTAATTTTAGTTAAAAATTATTCTTCACACAAATTTTTAATTTTTTTATGAAAATAGTTCGAATTAGTTTTATTTAATGATAATATAATTAACACCATTATGTTTAATTTCGCAAAAATTTAAGAAAAAAATGTTACGAAATGTTTTCGTAAAAAAAAGAACTCTTTGTAAGGGTACACCGAAACTTTGGTTTACTGGAATCAAATCTATTAGAATTTGTGTCACTTTTACATTTGTAAATGTATAATTATTTGTGGAATACTACCTTGTGAAAATTTTTCAAATTTTGGTTATGAGTGATGTAGTTATTTCATACATTACTTGGCAGTGAGTGATCTTTATCAACACCATTAATTATTTAATTGTCTAGAGCGTGTGTCTAATATGGAATTATTTACTGGTTCTAATCATAGTCAACATTAGAAGTTTTTTGAAAAAGTATTGTTTTTTAAATTTTTGTTAAAACCATTCCAAATAGCACGATCAAATAACTTGTTAATGGAGCATTGGGTAAGAGAATAGACTAATAAACACAAATTACTGTAAAGCCGATTTTAAATCCGGGAAAGTGGGGTAAGCACATTTGTAATCAGTTATTTTCTGGTTATCGTGGAACAAAAATCGGATAGGTAAAGATTTTGCTGAGTAAATTTTAATAATGGAAAATTATTTCAAGATTTTTTAACTTTTCCGCAAAATGTGTAAATTTTTTTTCGAAACATAAAAAATTTCTTAAAAATGTTAGCACCCTTAGATCAGATGTTGTACCGTAATGTAAATTTTCTTTTCCCAATTGTTTTAAAAGCTCCATGTCATTTTTGCTTTTGTAAAGTTATAATAAATTCGTTGGTTTGTTCGATTGGGTTTGATTGGGTAAAAAATCGGCATTTTTGAACCAAAAATCAGGAAATCGATACTATTTTGAAAGTAAAAATTCGTCTGGCCGGTTTTTTTGGTGTCGGTTAACCGGTTTTTTTATGGATGAAATTTTCTTTAAATTTTGTGATAAAATAACAACTTTCATACACATTTTGTGTTAATTTTTCTATCTAAATACTTTCGGTTTAATTTTTATTTTCCTACTCTTTTTTTCCTAATCTTTTTAGAAAATTTTATGATGGTTGGACCATAATTGACCCTACCTCCCATATAAAGCCCTCTTCAGAAATAGGCTTTAATACATATTCACGAGCGTGTTTAATAAACATTGATAAAAATAAATACCGTAAAAATGAGACCTAATGCCTCAACAGATTTATGAGGCATTAGGCAAATACACGACAAAGGTTAAAAAACAGTGAAAATTGGAATGACCTGCTCAGAGCATCGCCCTAAATCCAATAGATTAATTTTTAACCACAATTGATAAAAAATTCCGCTGAAATAGCGAACAAAAACGGATTTCTTTTGAAAATAATCGTATGGGGAAAAGCAAGGGGAATGAAAGGCGATTGTTAATAATAATGATAAAAAAAATTACAAAAATGGCTTAAGTAGATCCAGATATTCAAATCAGAACCAAAATAGATAAAAAAATTGATATACAAGAAATTTAAATAATGATATATAAAACTTACACTTTGAGTTCAAAAATCGTTATTAAAATTTTCGGTTAGCTCTAGATTTGTAGAATTGGAACTAAATTCCAAAGTTTTTTAACAACTTGGAAGTCTACAAACTATCTTTCTAAAGAGTATTATCATGATAACAGTTATTGCAGTATTCCTTGCAAGGAAGTTGAAAATTGAGCCTTTTTTTGTTTTATCCTTATAACAATAATTTGGGCTAAATTCATTTGAGTTTTTCCATAAAGTACTACGAACACACACCAATAATACCATTTTTCGGTTAAAATTGGAAATTCGCTAAAACGCAGTGAAATATTCAGAATTGAATTCAACTTTTGTTTGTTATTTTTACATACTCATGAATTCAAAATATTACACAATTCACAATCGGTGCCGTAACGTTGTATGTCGTAAGTTTTTAATATTCTTTTGTTTTTGTGTCAATAAATGTTTCTTCGAAATATTAAAGACATATGATGATACAACAATACGATACCAATAGTGATAAATGCGATGTTCTTTCTTTTAAAAAATATAGTTGTTGATGTTTGTAAGTGCTTGTCATGATGTTTGTGAGGATCTTATTACTTCCAAAATTTCATATTTGTATATATGGTTTATGTATCATGATGCAAGAAGAACAAATATTGTTAAAAGTAAAAAAAACACATTAACCAAAAATCACGAATTTATTTCAAAATATTTCACTAAATTTTTAACGAATTTCCTAATGTTATTTAAAAATTTTTTTATTGTTATATGTTGGTACTATATTGTAAAAAGAAATAAAATTCGTTTACCTTAAATTAAAGTTATAAGGATAAAACAAAAAAGTACAATTTTCAACTTCGCTGCAGGACATCCAAGGTATCCTCCAGTCAGCATGATTATACTCGAATGACATAATTTTATGTAGATTACCGTGTTGTTAAATAACTGTATGAATATTGGTCCGGTTCCGTTTAATTGGAATTTTTTAATTAGTTTTTTCTGTGTTCAGACTATATAAAATCTTAAAATCTAAAAAAATAATTACTAACTTTTTCCATTTACTTTATCAAATTTTGAGAAAATTTTCATGTGTAAAATCAATTTGAATTAAAAAGAAATTACAAAAATATTGTAACGAAATTTAGGGCAAGGATTTCTATGCAAATGCATAATAATATAAATAACTTGACCAAATATGACACACACATCTTTTTCACCCTAGCCCCATACAAAATATCCATCAGAAAATGGTTTTAATGTCACACAATCACCCAATATTATGAGGGTCGGACAATTTCATATAAAAAGATAACTTTTCATTTTTGACTCTTTTTGATGACCTAAAAGTGACTAATAAGCATCAGTTATGTATGCAGAATATCATCATGTCATTCATTTACTGAAGGGAACTTAAGGGATAGGATCAAGTGAGGCCCGATCATTACGAAAATCAGCAGTATTATTAAGACTTATATAAAACTAAGTTTTGTCGAACATATTTATGAGCCCTATTCAGGGGGTAGGGTTGTGTGGGGGCTATACGAAATAGTGGATCGATTTTAATAATTTTCAATAGGCTTCGTCCTTCGGTCAAAGAAGATTATTTGCCAAATTTCATCATATTATCTTAAAAATTGCGACCTGTAGGTTTACATGGACGCACCGACGGATTGGTATACTTTAAGGTGTGTGTAGGACTTTATTATTGACAAACATCAGTACAAACGCATAATACCCTCCCCACTATAGTGGTGTAGGGTGTAACAAACTAAAATTATTGATTTTTTTAAATAATATAAACAATATTTTTTAATGTAATGAATTTATGAAAATAATATTTATTTCTTTAATAGACATAGATTTATTTCTTTAATAGACACTTCTCGAGATCGTGGTTCCGTTAAAGAGGTATAAGAGTACATAAAGTAATAGTTTTTGGTGCATATTTTGACATTTTTAGTGCATATTTCCCATTTTTATAGGACATATTATAGGCGCATATTTTTAATTTTTTTGTGCATGAAAATCCTTGCTTTGATTATGATTATAAACACGAGCACGATATTATATAAATAGAGTTTTCAAGAATGTGTTCGCTAGAATGTCCTGGAAATATGTATCTAGAAAATCATGACTTGGTATAAATAGCGAAGGCAAGAAACCAAATGAGTCAGTCTTTAATAAATCGTCATTGACTAAAGTTAATAAAGTCGAGTGTTGAAGATGAATATGCCGCCTTACAGTAACAGCATTACAATTGAACCACAACCGCTGTCGACAATGAGTTTTCATACATTTTGTATGGAGAGGAAAATATTGTATAAAGCCGATTCACACAGGGAAACTATTTTTGGAAAACTTTTGAAAAAGTTTACATTATGAACCGGCTCGAAGCGAAATCACATAAGGTGGTGTTCAATCAGCTGATAATTATTTATAAGTTATGAACTTATATATTACTACAATTAAACTTTTCGGATCAGAGTTGCTATCTGACCGATCTCTTGTTATCTTAATTTTGAAATAAAATTGGATGCTGTAATAATGAATCGAAATAATGAGACTTGTTACGCATAATTCAATAAGGGGTGTAATAGAAATTATGCATCTTTAGCTAATTCTGCGTTAAAAATACTGATATTTGAAAATATAATTGCAATGAATAATGCACTATAGTTCGAAAACAACTAACGATATTCAGAAACAGTCATTAACTAAAATGTAGAAATGCGTAAGACGTATTATAAGATTAGTGTGTCCTTTGATTTATGGTGACTTCTAATTAATGGTAAGAAGCTACATAGTATATATGATGCAATTTTCATTCAGTTATATACAATTCCGCAGCAAACCCGTTATTTTTCTGGTCTATTTTTATTTTCTTATTTATTAATTTTTTTTTTTTTGATAATTACCAGAGACCTTTCATAAATGGAACCCACGAACTCCATTCATTAAAAATATGTATGTAAATTTTATTCATATTTTTATTTTTATCTTCTATAAAGGTACAATTATCAGCGTTCATATTCACACTCACATGAGGCCAATGATAAATCTAAATACACTGCCGCATCATACAATATTAATAGCCACAAATCCCTGCCTGATTTACACACACAAATCAACCGTCATTCACCACATAGTGAAATTTTAAGTTGCTGTAGTCGGGGCAATAGATCCATTAAATCCGCTGGAGAATCTTCATTAAATCGTGATTCAGGTGGTTCTTCGGGTCACTACACCCACCGTAGTGAACCGTGTTACCGCCAACATCGAGTTGAGCTCGATCGAGAGGAAAGAGCTAAGAAATGTTGCAGTGCCACCACACGGGTTGAGTATAGACGTGATAGTGGCTCATCTACACAACATAGCAACAATTCATATTGTGACTACTCTTGCAAGCCGATGAATGAAAATTTCGACTCTCCGGATTATTTATTTAATTTCACTACACCCGAAGTACCAGAAGCCTTTCAAGATGACTACATACCACCATCACCACGTTATCAAAGTGACGACACTCGCTATTATAGTTCCTCGACTCATCAAACTCATGCTAGTCAGAGTTATATGAAACATAAAGCCTCATCCGATGAACCTATTGTGCAGTCGCCTGGATCTCAACCATCTATTGAGGACATTAGTCCTCCACCTATTCAATTTAAGCGCCAAAAATGTATCCGATTTAAAAGACACAACCGCATATCGCTACCAGTGCAACCCTCAGCACCTCCCTACTCGGCCAATGATCACTCTCATACATCACCAATGGATACCTACAGAAGATCAGAGCATCATCGTTATTTCTTCCCCAAATGCTTCTCAGCTGATGAATACCAGCAGCAGCAGCATGCACCACCGCCACAGCATCAACATTCACAATCACAACAGCAAACACCGCAGAAACCTCCCCTACCATCGCAGCAAATATCACAACAACAACAAATAAAAGAGTTCAGAGATCAATATGCCAATCATGCTCTTCGACGTTCTCATGAATTGTTGCATACATCGTCAGAGCCACTAATGGATTTGGAGAAATTTTTCGATCGGTTGGGTTTGAATGATGATAAATTTCATGAAATCTATACATTTTCAAAAAGAAAACACAGTAACGGCAGCAGTGATGGCAGTAATAGTACAGTTTTTTTCTCCGATGTTAGTACCGTTGACTCTATGCGTTTGCCCGATAGTACCGAGACACAGCCACAGGCACCACAGACCTATAGACCCACTGAACCACCATCGATTGTGGAACGTAATGCACGCATAATAAAATGGTTGTGTAACATACGTAAGGTTCAAAATAATGGAAATTAAAGATATTGGAAAAATACATTGTTGTGAACGTGAAAAATGAAAACTGGTAGAACTGAATACCAGATCCAATATTGATGAACTTCAATTATTTATATTTTTTTCAGTTTAAATTTCGATGTTATATTAAGAGATATCTATTCGAAAGACATGCTCCGATTTTATAGTAAACTACTACGTATATGTACACAGCGTATGTATTTCAACCAAGTCATAATTACAATTTTTATCGAATATGTTCAGTCTTCCACTTTTAGTTGTGTTATTCAAATAATTTGTAAACAAAACACATTAAACAAAAAAAACAAAAAAAAAAAAAAAAAAAAAAAAAACAAGAAAAGAAACACATTAATTTTTTTACCACAATTGTATTGACACAGAACTCGTCTGTGTACTACAACAAGTTATTGTTGTAAAAAATTACAGCGTTTCGTTTCTTTTTTTTTTACATTAAAACTAAAAAAATAAATACGTGTGTTTACAAGTCGATTTTAAATTTATAGATTTTTTTGTTTGGAAAGTTATAGAACACATGCAATGAAATATATTTATAATTTTTTAAAGCAATATCTGTAGATACATAATTATGTGTATGTTATATGTCAGTAGAGTTATGTTATGTAAGATTCCTTATCATAAGGTTATTTGCTACGAATTCGGGTAAAATATTGTAGTAAATTAATTTTATTATTTATTTGTTATATGTGGCAATAAAACTGAGTCATTAAGCCTGTTTAAAAATAGTATTCTCCTAAAATTTTGTAATAACTACTAAAGGGCTCAAATACTTTCATATAAAATAAAATGACATTTAAACTACAATACCTTTGCGTAATGGATAACTATGTATATATGATGACCTTTAGCGACCTTTGTTTAAACGACCACGTTCCGTTCCGTGATAAGTAAGCTGATTATACATACTTAAAAGCTTGTCATAAAAACAATTTTTTAAATAATCTTATTTTGAGTACTACACCATTTCCATTTGTATATCAGAACTTTCCAATTGAATGTTTCAGAAATTTCTAGTTATATATCAGAAATTTCTAATTATGTTTAAGAAATAATTTTTATTTTTCAGAAAATTCTAATTTTATTTCAGAAATATATACAATTGGAAATGGTGTAGTTTAACTTTGAAGTACATATTGTTATACAAAAAGAATTTATGTTTTCACGGCAGCTATTAATTAACATTTTATAATTTCTAATCCAAGTTTAAATTATCTCTGTTCGGCACTTACTGTAAACAAAATTATCTAATCGATTTCTCTAAGGGCGGGTTTTTAAGTTTATCTAAAATTAATTTAATGTTAATCCTCTTTGCTGTTTTTGAGTACTAGTTTAACTGAAGATACACGAGGCTCTTTTAGGCGAAAGCCGTAATTGGCGATGGCGTTATGAATATTTCGAGGCCAAATAATCCCTCCTTAGTGGTATCATACTATTAAGGGGGCAACTTAACATTAAAACAAAGAAATAAAAAATTAAAAAAAAAATTAATTTTATTTTTTGGAGTCCCTAGACTTTGAAATAATCAAGAAATAATACAAATTTTTACAAATATTACATACGCAGCTTGAACACTTTGTCATTTCTTGCTTAAGTTTGATCTACCTACCAGATACCAAATGGAAAATCCCGATTCCCGAAAATTCCGGGATTTATTTAAAAATCCCAAATTTCGGGATTTCCAAAAAGCCTACTAGTACAACGAGTTTAATCTAAAGTTTAGGTTCTAAAGTACTAAAAAACAAACTAATCAAGTACTCAAAATCAACTTTCGAAGATAAATTTTAATTTAATCGCTAACCGTTTACCTAAAAATTGTCTCTTATTGAAGGATGTTAAGAGAAATAATTTTTGATAAAAAATGACAACATATATTACACCAAGATCGATTTTGTTAATACAGTTAAACACGAACTCCGTGCAACTAGTTAAATTTGTTCGTTATAAGCTAAGTTCGTAATAAGACGGGTGACGTTTTTATATATCGAAATATAAAGTAGCATTTTCCGCAATTAAAAGAATATGAATTTTAAATTTATTTAATTTCTTTACAAAAAATCACCATCGATTTTATTTGTTCATATACTTTTTAACGAATTTAAATTTTCTTTCAAACAAAGCTGAATATTTATTTTCTTATGATTTCAACACATATACTCTAGGAAAATTTGACAAAAAAATAGCAATCTGGGGAATTTTAGGTAGCTAAATAAAAATTGGCACATAGCTTCTCCTTAGCTAATATTAGAATGAAAAATTGGGACATAATCTGTATCGGATTAAAAAATATTAATATTTAAAAATACCATTGCAATGAAAAAAGAATGCACTATAGCTTGAAACAACTAATGTTATGCGAAAATAGTACTCAACAAATTGTAGGGAATTTAATTCTTTACAGAAATTATAATAGCATAAAAACGCATACGACGTATACTAAGCGAGATTTTTGGGACCTTTGACTCCAATATCTGGCTCAGTGCACACGATATTTATGGTGACTTTTAACATCTAATTAATAATGGTAAGGGAAAACTATGATCCAATTTCATTAAGCTATCTAAAATTCCGCAGCTAAACCCTTATTTTCCTGGGCTAATAATTTTTTAAGTTCGTTATGAAAATGGAAAAATAGTTTATTTTTATTTCTCAAAAAGTCAAAAAATCGATTTGCTCCAAGGTTAGTACTATTGGATAGCACGCCAGACACAAAGCTCTATCGGTCAAGAACTGCCGGAGTTAGACGGGGTCAAAGTTGGACATTTTGGACAGGGTTTTTTTTTCAAATGAGTGTAAATTTTCACCTATTGGTCCTAGCAAAAATTGTCCAAAGAAGTTTAGATAGCTATTTCTTCACTGTTTCCAAATTTTTTTTTAATTATTTTTAAATTAAAATTTTTTAATCAATTTTATAGTCGCTTAATGGGTTTCGAGTGGGATATCTATTAAAAAAATATTTTTTAACTTAAGTTTTCCCCTTTTTTTCAAAATGGACGGTTTTGTTGTTTTATTTAGAAAGTTTAGACCATTTTCTTTTAGAGCTTTGTGGTCACTTAGTGGGATGTACATTGCACATATCGGCACCTAAAACGCATCTAACGTATCTAACATTTTTAAAATTTTACAGGAGAAGCAAAAAGCTATTTAAATTGAAGTTTATTTCTATCAGCGCGATTTATTGTTTAATACTTAGTGAAACCTATCATTTGTTATGATAGTTGACAATGGCGTATATAAAGATGGATAAACTGGAATTTTTACCTTTAATATTTAAATGTTTTTGTAGATAAGGCCTACAAAATGAGTCCAATTTCAAAAATAAAATAAATTTTGAATTTTTGGTTAGTTAGGGCCTTTTGCGTTTCAGGTGACGATATGTACTATGAAAAGATGCACTACTTTACGTACATTAAAGGTGCCCAAAAAATGTCGATTTTGTTTGGATGGGTCTTATTTTCTTCATTAGTAAACAAAAAACGAGTTAAATAGTAATTAATTATATAATGCCTATAAATTTGTTCCTTGTCGCTTGATATCAGTGTTGCCAAACCTTAATTGGGAAAAAGTGCTAGATTTTTTTTTCAAAAAAAAAAAAAAAAAATGCTAGAAAGTGCTAAAAATAAAGAAAAAATTCTAGAAAAAAGTGCTAACAAAAATAATATTTTTTTTTTTGTAAAATATTTGAATTTAATTTTTTTAAATAAACTATGTACATAAATAATATATTAAGCTTAGTACGCAAACGTACCAACTCCACTTATTATGAGATGATTTGGATACAAAATAAGATTTTTATAATAACTAGTTTTAGAGTTTTTCTATTATTACTTTATCTATTAAAATTTTTCTAAAATTGCTCTATTTTTTGACAATTTCATTAAAATTGTTTGAAGTTTTTAGATCGGAAGTAAACAGAACCAGTTCAGATTCTGGAACTGCTATATTTGAACTCGTAATGTCGCCATTAATTCTAGAAACAGTTCTGTTTAAAAATGTTGTGGTTTCAAAAGTCTTTTAAAAAGTTTCCATGAAATCTGATCCTTCAATATTTTCATTGGAACAACACTAGTCCAGAGTTTCAAAACAACTACTTAAAACCAGTAGAATTTCGAATTTTCCCAAAATTGATCTTATTTTATAAGAAAATATAATATAATTTCCGCACGGGTTCCCGTTTTTCGATTTGACCAAAATTTAACACTAGTTAGTTTTGAGACACTAATGAATAAAATAAGACCCATCCAAACAAAATCGATATTTTCTTTTGGCATTTCTTTAGATTTAAATAATTTTTCTTTTAATATCTTTAAAATTTTGATTTTTACTATATTTGTGATTGTCGTACTGGGGTTTAATTTAGATTCTAAGGGTATTTAACACATACACTATCGGACAAAATAAAGTGCAAAAGTACTCATGTACAGCGAAAAATCGGTTAAATGATTATTGAATATGGATTTTTTTTTCAAAATCATTTAGTTTATATACAATGCTACAAAAATAACAATAAAACTAAATTATTCTACTTAAAATTTTTCTGCATAACATCTAAAATTAAAATAAATTCACTTTTTTGTCGGACAAAATAAAGTGTAAATTTTATATATCATTATTTAAATTTCTTGTATATCAAAATTTTTTATCTATTTTGGTTCTGATTTTAATATCTGTATCTATTTAAGCCATTTTGGTAATTTTGTTCTCCATTATTATTCGCAATCGCTTTCCCTTCCCCTTGCTATCCCCATATGATAATTTTCAAAAGAAATACGTTTTTGATCACTATTTCATCGGAATTTTTTGATAAATTGTGGTCCAAAATTAATCTATTGGATTTAGGGCGGTGCTCTGAGCAACTTATTTCAATTTTCAGTGATTTTTCCTACAGTAATGTTATTTTTTAACTTTATCAAGTGCTTAAGCTTATTATCTTGCCGAAATATAAAGTTGCCCAAGTCCATTTCGAAGGCACTGATCTTAAGATTTCACTGCAATATGCTCATATAGTGTTCATTGGAGCTTTTTGAATAAATTTCACCTAGGTTCCCCACACCTAACGTTAAAAATTGGACACTTACAAAGAGTCAACTGACCCATACCTTCAATCTTTCACCAACATATTTAAAAGCTTAAAATTTTTTTTCGATTTTAGTATTTAATTTCATATTTTTTAGATCAAATTTACGTAGTTGGTCAGATGAGTCCCAATTTCTACCGAAAATTTTGAAATGTCGACAATGAGTGTGAATTAAGCCCTTCAATATACAAAATTTAAAAAACAATACCCCAGGTTTCAAATATTATGGTGGAGGGCTAT